CATCAGAACCATGAAAAAACATTACCGTAAACAGTTTATTTTGCGACACCACGAAACAAACGATAGCGTAAAATGAAGCGATAGATGTTTGTATATCGTCATCCGATATATATCGTTATATCGAGCAGCCCTACCTACAGTCGTTCCAGTAAGCTGAGCCGATAGACTTTGACTTGAGGTTTTGTTTTTTGTTTTTTTTGGTGTCAGTTTAACAACTTGGGCAGTTATAGTTGCTCAACTTGCCCCTGCATTTACATAACTTGAGGAATGTGCTACAACTGCTAGTTAACTTAATTCTGACAGTGCTGCAAATGGGTTTTAACATAATTCAAATCCCCCTCAGTGACCCGGTTTAAGTGTGTATAGCTTTAAAACCTCAAATGTAACAGTTGAAGACTACAGGGGGATCAGTTTGTAAAGGTGTAGTGATGCTTCTCTAAAACAATCTAATGTGGTGGTTTACACACAGCTCAGTGGTTCAGTTTCAGCCAGAGACACAAATCCACTTTCAGGTTTCTTCAGGAAGGTTATCCAGGGTTAAACTATACCAAATAAAAACATGTGGCGCTGCCTGCTGTGGTGACCCCTCTTCACAAGGGGAGCAACATTTGTTTTGTCACTTCATAACAGCCCCCTTCTTGTGTTTTTGGTCTACTACAGAATTCTACATTAAAGCATCTGCTTAAGGAGCTGATTTTGTCTAAATTCAGAGAAGCTTATTTATTTGACTCAGTGCAGCATCCCAGACAGCTCGCTGATTTTTGGCTTGTAACACAAGGAAAATGTCCAGGATGTGCCAGCAGAGAAAAGTGACTTCCAGTCTTTTTAATCTTCTCACCTGCCAGCAGCAATCTGACTGAGCTTTGATAGGTGTGAGCAATGTGTCGGACACTTGGGTTGTACCATCTGTCACCTGTCTGGCTGCACAAAGAGCACTCTTTGACTGCTGAGCATATATGTATATGCAACATTCATAATGCACATAACCAGATATCAACCTCTGTTTCCACACTTTAAAGCATACAACAAGCAAAGTACTTAAGAGCACTCCACCGAGCAGTGATGGAATGGTTACAAAAACAATCGTGAAATTGTTATTGTGCAGCTCCTGATTTGGGTTTCAATTATAAATCAGTATATTTGAGTGTAGTTTTAAGTGAATCCCGCTCAACATCAGTTCTGAGATGATGCTCAAGTTCTGCTCATAGATTTCTTTTCACTGTATGTTTCTCTTCAGCTCGTCAGCTGACTGTCCAGATGATGCAGAATCCACAGATCCTGGCTGCGCTGCAGGAGAGGCTGGATGGTTTGAATGGCTCACCATCAGGGTACATGGAGAGGTGAGGGATGGCTCATTTGTCTTGCCTGAGCAGCACACAGGCAGCTCTGAATTGAGAATAATGTACAGAGTTTGTTTTTGTTTTTATATTAAGGTTTTTATGCAAGAGTGGTATTCACTGAATTTTGTTCAGTAGATCCTGCTTTTTTTTTTTTTTTAAAGTCTGGCTGTTGGCAACTGTTGCTGTGGGCTTTCCATCAGTTACAGCAATCACTTCCTTGCAAATAGACAATCAAAAACATCCACCTACAATCTACATGCTTCAGCATACTGATGAGTATCTGAAATGGTGACGACACCTTGTTGAGTAGAAATGCAAATGACTTTGAAGTTGAGGTCAACACCAACGGTGCAGTCAAAACCAGCGAGTCATGAGTTGATGATATGAGTTGATACCGGTGTGACACTACATGGCTCAAGAAATACAACCGGGTTTCAGTGTGAAGCAGGTGGGCTTCTTACATTGAAGTGGGAAGCCTCAGCCCCTGGCGAGGTCAGCTATTATCGTCTCGGATGCGATGAAGGAAGAACGCATGTTGAGTTTCAAACATCACTTTGTAAGGACAGCTGGTTTTAAATTGGGTATGCTGAGGCACATAAAGGTGAGACGTATGGTAATAGGAAAACCCATTTAATGTGTTACAGACCACTTCCAGACTGTAGGCAGTGAAACTTTAAACAGAAGTTCAAACAAGACAAAATTGTCTGTTCGTTTTAAAATGCAAAATCCAAAGTCTAGCTCTGCTTTCTCAGTGTAAGTGGCTGTGAGCACCTGGTGTCCTTCATAAAACAGCATACCAGAGAGCCTTTAAAATAAATGCATACAATGATGTTGTGGAAAAAGGACAGTGGGGCACTGCATTTCAGGGCATAGTACTGGCATCAGTTGTAAATAATGAGGGCTGCTTTAGTGGGCGAATAGCTGCACAAAGACTTTATTTTGTGTAGTCACTTGAGTTAACATGGATCAATTTGTTGCCTGAGTCCAGGAAATGTAATCGCAGCTGACGTGAGTCATAGTTAAAACGAAAATAATCCAAGTGGAGGAGATACTTTTAACAAAAACCACACTGAAGGATGCTTGCTCAAACGGCAACAGTTCAGTCAGTGGTTGGGGCTTCTGAGATGCTAGGTTGTGAGCGTTGCTGTGCATCTTGGCTACAGGGCTGAGCCACCCACTGCTCCTCTCTTCAGCAAAACCATCAGCAAGCAGCTCTTTAATCAACATGTCAAGTGTTTGGCAGTCACCACCAAACTCACCGGTTGCATCCCAGCACTTGGGACTCAAACACACATTCCCCTGCCAGGCTAGTGCAGGCGTCTCTAATTTACCACACTGCAGAGAAACTTGACTGGGTGCAGTCTCTCTGCACTTCTGAGTCTGGTTAACTGATCATTCAACAGATTCTAAAGATATAATTAGGATGTTAAAGTTGCAGGGTGTCCAAATGGGACCGCAGAGATGTGCACCTTCAAAAGCAGAAACATGGGGTCTGATGTGAAAGAACAAGCAGAAAGAGCAGATTTGCATTACAGGAGAATTTATTCCACCATCAGATAAATGCACTATATTGAAAGCTAGCTGAATGGAATCGGTAGCATCCTACAAAATAAGTCTGCGATGAGTTGGAAATGAG